AGAATGGTAGAGCAAGAGAGGGAAGAACTGACAGAATGAGAGCAACAGACAGAATGAAAGAGCAACAGACTGAACAACTGACAGGAGGAATGATAGAGAATGATATAGTGACACTCAGAACAACAGACAGGATATTAGAACAGTCAGAATGAGAGCAATAGACAGAACAACTGATAGAATGGCAGAGTATGCTATAGCAACGGTCAGAACAACAATTACAGACAGAATGATAGAGCAACAGACAGATTTACAGAATGATAGAGAATGATATAGTGACACTCAGAACAACAGACAGGATGAGAGCAACAGACAGAATGATAGAGCAGCAGACAGAACAACTGACAGAATGATGAAGCAACAGGCAGAATGATAGAGCAACAGGCAGAATTATAGAGCAACAGACAGAACAACTGACAGGATGATAGAGCAAAAAGCAGAATGATAGAGCAACAGACAGAACAACTGACAGGATGATAGAGCAACAGGCAGAATGATAGAGCAACAGACAGAACAACTGACAGGAGGATAGAGCAACAGGCAGAATCATAGAGCAACAGACAGAACAACTGACAGGATGATAGAGCAACAGACAGAACAACTGACAGGATAATAGAGCAACAGGCAGAATAAAAGCAACAGACAGAACAACTGACAGGATGATAGAGCAACAGGCAGAATGAAAGCAACAGACAGAACAACTGACAGAATGTCAGAAAATCCTAAAGCGGCAGTCAAAACAATTACAGACAGAATAATAGAGCAACAGACAGACAAAACGACAGACAGAATGACAGAGAATGATATAGTGACAGACAGAACAACAAACAGAATGAGAGCAACAGACAGAATTACAAAACAACAGAAAAAATGATGGAATGACGGACAGAATAATAGAGCAACAGACAGAATGGCAGAGAATGATATAGCGACAGTCGGAACAACAGACGATGACAGACAGAATGGCGGCAACAGAACAACAGTCAGAGTGATACAGCAACAGACAGAACTATAGAGCAACACACAAAACAACAGATAGACCGGATGACAGAGCAACAGATAAACAGACATCATAATAGAGAATAAATAACGGACAGAATGATAAAGCAGCAGTCAGAACAACAGACAGAATGATAGAGCAACAGACAGAAGAACTGATCAAATAACATGCAGAATGATAGAGCGACAGACAGACACTACAACAGACAGAATGATCGAATGAAAGAGCAACAGACAAACAGAACAACAGACAGGATGATAGAGGGATAGAGATGAAAAACAGATAATAGTGAATAAAGAAAATAGCGCAACAGAGAAGTGAAAAATAGAGCAACAGATGGACAAACAAAACACCCATTCAAAATACTATAGTAATACTGTACATAATGTATACAAAACTAACCCTGCTAGCGCAGACAGATTCTGTTCTAACAGCTTGCGTTTTGCACAGTTTCACTCCATTTTTCTTCGTTTCAAATGCGAAAAACACACACACCATCACTCACTTATTCATCCACCCTCTGACGTTTCCACACAAGCCTTGCAACATGCTCTCTCTTCCTCTTTCATTCTCTTTCTTCACAGCAAACGCTCTCTCGCTCGCACCTGCATGACTGACAGTGTTAAACAAATATTTATTTTCATATTTTAGGTCTCTGGGAGGTTCACGGTTCAGCGGCAGACTCAATTTTTCCAAAGATAAAAAAAACATATATCAAAGTAATCCAAAAAGCCTTCAGGTTTACAATGGTTCACAGGATCCATCCATCATTTTTTGGGGTGGTGTACAAAAACCTCCACTATCTCACCTCTCATCACCAGTGAATACTAGAGGGAGGATTAGGACAAGGGGAAAACGGGAATGGGGACGAAATTAGGGGAGAAACAAAACGGATTGATGGATAGATAGATGGATGAAGTGCAGAGAGGACAGGAGGAAAACAAAAAGGCTGATAAAGATGGAAGAGGAGCGTAACGCAAGATCAAGAGCTGAATTTAGCTGAATAATGACACTATTTTCCTTTGTAAAGCTGCTTCGCTGCTTAATTGAATTAGCTTCATAATTGAATTTTTGCAACATTTACGTTGTTGAACTGAATTGAATTAACAATGAACTGACTCGGGGTAAATAATGACGCCATTGTCTTCTGTAGAACTGCTTTATAGCTCAATCTAACTTCTCGCGGAAATTGAGAAACTTTGCGGTTACTGAAGTGAATCAACAGTGAACTGACTTTAGAAAAACACTGTTTCTGTCTTTTGTACAATGAAGATGTGTGAAGTGGCTAATTAACTTCTAAATGAACTATGTGTAACTGATAAGCTTTCTAATCTCAGAAAGATCTCCATGTAAGTAATTCGTTTAAAAATAACTTTTATTATATTATATTCTTCCAAAAAAAAAGTAATTTTTTTTTTTTTTACCAAATAATACTTGCATTTCCGAATGTAAATGGGCTACCTGCAAAACAAGAACATTTTAAAACCATTTTAGGGTACTTTTAGACTTGCTTACAGTGTTTGGATGTCTAATAAGACAATATTTATTGTTGGGAAGTTGTACATGTGATTTCAGGTGACAGGAGGTCAAGGTCAATTTATTAATTGAGCACATTTAACACACACCAGGCTGACCCAAGTGCTTTAAAAGCAGCAGCATTTTAAAATAAATAACAGTGTGCATAAGACTGTCATCAGGAATGTGAATGAGATGTTAAGCATGCTTATGACAACTGTCAATATGGGTGCTTTCTCGCCTCCCTTATTTAGTTTAGTTGAATCGCACTAGAGTTCGTTTTCCCTCTTGGTGCGGTTCGTTTGTTCAGGTGTGAATGCAGCAATCGCACTCGAGTGCGCACCAAAAGCGGACCAAAAAAGAAGAGGTGGTCCTTGTACGCTTCCAAACGAACCCTGAAGCGGTTATTTTGTGGTGAGAATATGATCCGAATTAAAACAGACTCAACAGGAAAAAGTACTGTGCCTCTTTGGATTAATCCAGCGTCCGGTGGCCAATGCGCTGTGCATTATGGAATTTGAAGGACAAATATTTGTTGACATCACTTTACCAACAATTTTAAACCGAGGGAAAAACATTACCTGATGTAATATTTCCGCAAGATGACCATGTCGCAGTTTGGCTAAATTAATTCACGCCTCCTCCTAATGTGGCATGCGATGCATTAAAACATTTTCCAGCCGCGCTTCTTCTCGAAATGTATAGTTTGCCTAAATAAAGTATACAAAATATAGTGTACTATGAGCAGGGATCAGTCAGCGCAGTCGTAGCTCCATAGACAAAAGCAACATTTGTGTCTGCCGGTTTGTTTACTTGCAGGGAGTTCCATTGGCATTTTCCCGCACGTGAATTCTGACCAATCAATAAGCAGTTTAGAAGATACGCTCAATAAAAACTGGCCAATGAGTGATGTGGATTTTTGTCAGATGACTGCATTTTGGTTCTTTTCAACTGGTTTGAACCAAAGTAATCAGTGTTGTGTGAAAATGACCCAAAGATGGCAGAAAATGCTACAATGTATCATTTATTGCCCTTGGTCCGGACCAAATGAAGCGAACTACAGATGTGAAAGCACCCTAATTGTCATTCATTCAGAAATTACATTTTAAATGCAAAATGGCATTGTTTGTTATGACAACTTGACGTAAACAAATACATCACAACCTGTTTTTGCCTTTGTCATGACAACTTGACAATACTAGACACAAAACTTGTCATAAATCTGCCATAAACATGATTGTCATAAAGACATTATAAATATGTCAGGAATTTTATAACATCATTAATATAACCTTAACTACAGTGGAGCAAGTCAGAATTTGTCAGTAGTATACATTTAATATTGACGCTCTTAAAATTATTCGACAGAGAAATGACATTTTTAAGAGACATTTTTATAAAAAAATACTTTTCTTTTTTGATATTTGGTGCCAATGTGACAGAGGCCAGCTAGCGCTGTGCAGGTAAACCTCACTTCTCTGACCTCACAAGGTGCTCTAGCGACAGAAGCTAGAGGCCATGGTCTTTAACCTCCTAGTTAGAACAACCAACTCCCATGCAAAGAATCACCGGTTTGATCCCAGCTCAGTTCGGGTTGGGTTCAGTAGGACCAGTTTGCTAAAACTGAGGGCTCGTCCGAGATGGGCGTGAGGTTTAGGGGGGTGAGTAATGGAGCCAAAGTGCTATGCAGGAAAAACCTCACTCCTCTGACCTCAAAAATGTGCTCTAGCAACAGACGCTAGAGGCAATGGTCTTTAGCCTCCTTGTTGGAGCAACCGACTCCCATGCAAAGAATTGCCAGTTCGATCCAAGCTCACCACAGGCTGGGTGCAGTAGGACTGGTGGACTACATGTGGGGGCTCATCCGGGATGGGAGTGAGGTTTAGGGGGGTGAGTGTAACAGAGGCCAGCAAGCGAAGTGCTATGCAGAAAAAACTTCACTCCTCTGACCTCAAAAGGTGCTCTAGAGATGCTAGAGGTCATGAACTTTAGCCTCCATGTTAGAGCAACCGACTCAGTAGAACAAGTGGGTTATACCTGGGTGTTCGTCTAGGATGGGAGTGAGGTTAAGGGGGATGAGTAACAGAGGCAAAGTGTTCCAGTTTTGCACACAAGTTTAATTAGCATATTTGGATAGTAATACAGCTAATGGCACTTATTGAAATGATTCAACAGTAAACTTAATATTACACTATTAACTATTTCTATTGATCCCTGTTTGGAAGCTCATTTTGAAACAACCCATAATATGTCCCATTTGTTTAAAAAACACCTCTTATACTTATTTGTCTTTACTTTGCTTGACCCTCTTGCTCTTGGATTTTTCATTTTCACTGAGCTTGACATGGTGCATTCTGGGATTGCTTTCATCATGAAAAATGTGATGCCTTGCAGTGGTGCTTATTGAGGCAGCTCACTATATTTTGGATTAGAGTTTGTCTGTGTTGTGTGTGTATGTGTGTGTGTGTGTGTGTGTGTGTATACTCACAGGTGAGGCAGACGAGCAGTGCTCTAAGGCTAAGATCAGCCACTCGTCTCCAGCTCTTTCGGACTCGTTCACACATCGGCGGAAGCAGAATCTCTGCCGGCACGAAAAACTGCACTGCAAAACTCACAAACACTCCGAAAGAGTACAAGACCTTCACCAGCTGATTGGACCTGCAACACACACACACACACACACACACACACACACACACACTCATGAATACTGCAAAGAAATGTCAAGTCAGAAACCACAGCATGAGCAATTACGGTTTGAAGAACTTCAATGATGCAACGCAGGATTTCAACACATGACTTCAAAGGCAGCTCAAACGCAGACGCTGTGTGTTTCCAAAAGACACCATACTGCTCCAGGAGAAGCAGTTTGGGTCTACTTTAAATTTAAAAAAGAAGAAAAACTCTGGAACTGATACATCTGTACTTTAAGACATTAAACGTTTATATTATACAAACTTATATTAACATAAAAAATTAAGATCACTGTGCAAAAATTACTACATTCATTCATTTTCCTTCAGCTAAATCCCTTATTTATCAGTGATCAACACAGCAGAATGAACTGCCAAAAAGTAGCGTATAGAAAAAACAACCCATGACAGAAACACCTGTGAAGAAACAAAGGAACATAAAAACCTACCGCCAGCTAGTGTTTCGAAAGTGTTATTGCAGAGTAACGCAGAAGTAAAAATACACGATTACGCACAAGGCATGCGCTGTGGGACACGCCGATCACTCGACGCAGAAGTATAAATCAGCCTTTAGACATTAAAAACAGCTCGTTATGTTGCAAACTGATATTTTTTAATTATATTATTCTACTTTGTCTGTACAGTCATGAACACACTTGTTTGTAGGGCAAGTAGTTTGACCGTTTTCTATGAAATAAATTAACGTCATAAATATTTTTTGCATAAATAAAATTCACGCATCCGTAATTATAAAATCGTAAAGGAAAACGTGTACTCGAAATTTTACGAGGGCACAATTCCAAAATCTGCGATAAGAACAGACACAGATACGACATTTTCTATGTCTGTTTGTATCTTAAATAAATTATTGAGAGTAAAAAAAAAATCTTTTTATCTACCTATACTGAATAAATCTGTCCAATTTAGTTTGTGTTCTCTGGTGATCTTATAAGTTCTTTGCGAATTACTTAAACAGTTAAAAAAGGTGACTCAATCAGCAGATGTCATGTTCTAGTTAACAGTGTTCAGTGATACTGTGACACAGATATGACATTTTCTTTGTCTGTTTGTATATGACTGATAAATGTACGATGGGTGTACTTTACAAACAAGAAATACAGTTTCACCACGGACACGAAGTCCTGGTTAAGAGTACGAATCAAACAGCGACACTCCACTGTCAAAGTTACATCCCCGCTGTCACAGGCATTAATAAACAAGCGAGAGTCATCGATCAAAATGGCGCGCCTCCTGGGCTCTCATAGCGCCCACACACCGTATCAGGTAAGAGTTTTATTATTCCCTCTTTGAGAAATGTCCGTCATGAGCTGTAATAAAGGTTGAGACTTAATGAGGTCCATTTTCGCCGTGTTTCTTGGACATTTTACAGAATCCAAATTAAGAATGAGACGAGGATAGTGAATTAACATAATGTAAGTTAACTACTTTTTTTTAACTATTCACAAACAACTTATAAGATCACCAGAGAACACAAACTAAATTAGACAGATTTATTCAGTCTAGGTAGATAAAAAGATTTTTTTTTTACTCTCATTAATTTATTTAATATACAAACAGACAAAGAAAATGTCGTATCTGTGTCGGTTCTAATCGCAGATTTGGGATTTGTACCCTCGTAAAATTACGAGTATGTTCCGTTTTCCTTTACAATTTTATAATTACGGATGCGTGAATTTTATTTACGCACTAAATACTTATGACCGTGATTTTATTCCATAGTTTTCTGCCAGTCCATTTATTATTCCTAGTCATTTCTCCCATTAGCAACAGAATTGCAAGTCCTAAAACAAAAGTCAAAAACAAGCGCACTTCTGCATTGTAGAATAATGTCAATATGAGGTCGTTAAAGTTATACATGTACATAATCGCACAAAAGTCAGTTTCAGAAGCACGTCACACTGCTCAGATATTGGCTCTAGTGGCTGATGTGTTCTCTGCTGAAATAATGCTAATGAGATCTAGAAATACGCTAACTGCTAATAAACGCCTGCTTAAAAGTTGGTAGGAAACGGCAGGCTTTATCAAAAGCAGCTGGTTTTGATTTCTCTGTAATTTGATCGTAAGTGTCTGTGAGCTGCGATCAGTCACTCGAGATGTTTCTGACACTGATCTCGGGGGAATGAAGACGACGCTTCAAACACTTCAGTCTGGAGTTTAATATTAGTTCTAGTGAATTTAACTGCATTATAGCAGAGAGCTGCGACAACTAAATTGAACTGACTTAACACTGGAGTTTGATGGATGTGACTTTACATTTTTTTAACTTTTCCTGCTTTTTGCTTTAAGGAATAAAAACATGAGGAGAGAGTTGGAAAGTGTTTGTCCCTCAAGTTAAAAAAAAAAAAAAAACTGTGCCTGTAACGAGTCAATAATTCCAGCTTTACTTCCTGCAGTGGCTGTTTACACCTGAGCACTTCATGTGCTTTTTTCTGATTTGATCTGATTAAAAAAAAAAAAAACTTTGCGTAGAAACTTCCGGAAGGAAATATACACCAGAATAAATATTTTCTTTTCGCAAATTTGACTGATTATATGTAGTGGTCGATTAAGTGATTATGGCTCATATGAGGATTTAAAGCAATGATCTCAAACTTAATTCCTAGTGGGTTGTCTGCTGTTGTGACGCGGTGGGTGTGTTCACGATTTCAGGAGGCGTGGCTTTGAATCACAGTCCCTCCTCGCAGTCCAAAGATAATATGCTAAGCGGTTAGCATTTTGGCAGATCACCTACTGCACCTTGAATATATTAAAATTGTGAATGAACTTGACTGTTGATGTCTTAAATAATAATGTCAAATAACCAACATTTAATGTCAAATAACCAACACGCGTTGACGCATAGCCCTATACGCTGATGCGCACCTCTCAAAAAATGTTACTACACATCGAAATGATGCATAGCGCAAGCTCTGTAATTGGTCGGCTTGGTAGCGCTGACCAGTCTGGGCGGGACCGAGAAGCTACGCAAGCCCGATGGAGCGATTGTTTACTTCAGTGTGGAGTCCCATGAAGGAGCTCAAGATGGAAAGTTGTGTTCTTGCCTGTATCGGTTCCTGCCTGAAAATGAGCGAGTTTGACCCATTTGTACATTAAGAAAGCATTTAGGAAAAACAAAACACCAGTGAAGAAACTCGACACAGAGCAACATTAACACCTCACGGCCAACTAGCGTTTCGGAAGTGTTAATGCAGAACAACAGAAACAGCGCGCAGAAGTATACATGCACAGCTACGTGCGTTGCATGCGCCGTGGGTCACGCCGATCACTTGACGCAGAAGTATAAACCAGGCTTATGTCACATACCTGTCTGATGGCTCATTATGCAGGTCTTTGTCTTCTCTAGTGTGAATCACTGCATTAGTAATGATAGTTCACGCCATCTCGCATAGACCATTTTCACTCAAAAAGTGACTACGAATTTTTTATTCATTATATTGTTTTCTGTTACCAAGTAAACAAGACGATTCTCACATCATTTTGAAGCAACAACACTAGGCTACAAGATCCAGTTCTCAAAATTCGTGTGAACAAATGTTGTGTGTTTCTCAGCCTTGTTTCAGTAGCTATGTTTCCATCCAAAAATGCGAATAAACTTTATGCGCAAAACTCGATTACAGCATAAAAGTTGTGCGAATGAAGCATCGTTTCTATCCAACGAGTCAAAGTGAAAAAAATCGTCACTTCCTGATTAACTGGCGCCAAATATCAACAGTAAAAACTGCATTTGCTGCAGTAGGAGAAGCTGCATCAATCTTTTCTAAATGAATGCGCCTCAGAAGACAATCCTGATAAGCAGTGAGCGTGCAGTGGCGTTTGAAGGTGTCAGACGCGGAGCACAGGCGCTCTTGATTCTGGAGGTCATTAGTAATATAATAACATTAATACTGAAATGGTAAGGCGTTTTATAATGACCAAAACAACATTTCAGATGTTTTATAATATGCTCAGCCTGATGTTTTGTCCATTCACACATATTTTAAGCATCACATGATCTCTTTCAACAAAATCACATGACCTTTTTTAATGCGCATGCTGGAGTTTGTGCGGTAAAAGTGTTTCCATCGCAGTTTCTGCGCATTTTTTCTTAGCGATTAAAACGTTTATCCTACCCAGTTAGGCGCATAAGTTTTTTGTGCGCATTTTCAAAATTTATTCGCATCATGGCGTTTCCATCAACTAGTTTTTTTATGCCCATTTGCAAAAAAAAAAATAGGTGGATGGAAACATAGCTACTGACTTTAAAATTTTAGTTTTAAACTAACCATGCATAAACGTTTCTTTCTCAAAAACACAAACACATACAAACATTCTGCTTAGGTATTATTGTAGCCCAGCTAGTGCCGTTTACAGTGGTATCACCCTTTAGCCATCAATATGTTTTTAAGATGCTGAAAACAACACAAATATCAGTGCATGTCAAACCTTCTCCAGAGCCCCAAAACACCCTCAGACCCCAGAGGGTTAAATAAACAGTAGCATAGTGTAGCCTACTTTGTGATTATGAATGGTCTTTCTTTGGTGCTGTTAAAACCACCACATCAAACCTGTAGCTGTTGAAATGGTAGCAAATCACATTTTAAATGGCAATTTTGACCAGATAATATTAGATTTTTTTTTCCAAATTATGGAAAAAAAGTTGATGCTCCAATGGATAATACTGGTAAAAGTAGTGATTTTTTGTTGTTGTTTGTTTTGTTTTTTTCAGAAATGTATTTAAGAAGCCCTCCTAAAACAAAACGATCAACTTTTAAAGTGTCATTATGGGGAAGCATTAAAGAATGTTAGTTACCAGGAGTCGTGTGGAAGGTTTAGCGTGATGCTGCCTTTGATGTCATCTCTGAAGCGCAGGTAGCCCAGAGTGGCCAGCGTTACATAAAGGACGATGATGAAGCCCATGCCAATGTTGAGGGCCTGAGGGAATCGCTTGGGCTCCCTCATTTGATTCTCTAATGGAAGAACCTACAAGAACAAAACAAGAGAGATAAATGTAGGCTGATTGGTAGCGGCACTCCAGGCAAAACATGCACAATCCTAGTCCAGGAGGAAAGAAAAATAGTAGTGTGCAAAATGATGCCGCCTTCAAAGACATTCCTTTGACCAATTTCTGCTTCCTTTGGCTAACATAGTAAAGCATGGCCATGGAAACTTAAAGGCTGCATCCTAAATCGCATCATTCACTATTCACTACATTAGACCACTAATAAAGTGCACTTAAAAGAGCGAATGAAAATGAGGGAGTGAATTGGAGTGTACTAAAGGGAGGCAGTTATGTTTGTGCTTTGCTGGTCGATTAATCCCTTAGACGGATTATTTTTTTAACTTTATGCTCAGACTCTGTGAGAGTTATTTAACACTAATGCTGCGTTCACACCAGACGCTGTGCGTGCGTCAAGCGCGAGTGATTTACATGTTAAGTCAATGCAAACGTGCGAATAGACATCCTGCGGTGTGATACGCGCGAATGGCGCAGCGCGAATGACGAGATTTGCGCGAATGGCGTGGCGCGAATTGAACGTTCAGCGGACATTCACGCCGAGTTAACCAGTCAGTAGCTTGCTCTTGGGGGGGGCGTGATTGTGACGTATCGCCTGTTATCTGTGTCCCAGGGGAAATCCCCCAGCAGACGCCAACAAGAAGTTCATCAAACTGGGCTGGGCTCAGTCAAAAGCACCGCTGAAAACCTCCATCAGTCAGGTTCAGTTTCTGGAGGAGTCTATGAGCTTGAAGAGCTGGATGCACCTCTGAAAGGATGTAGTGGACTCAGACACGGCCCTAAACGTATCAACGCTGTTTATCATCCTTTATTATCCGTTATTTTCTTCATAAAATCCTTGTTAGCCATTTAGCTATGAAGCTAGAGTCACGGGGCAGACAGAAGCCCTGCCCATCACGCGAATCCGCGTCTGTTCTGAAGTGAATTTGACACGCGAATGAAGCGGTGTTTGACGCGAGAATGCAGCAAGAAACCTCAAATGTTCACGCGGCTATTTACGCGCGAATAGCGCGATTTATCCGCACGTTCTGTGTCTGGTGTGAACACAGCATCAGGCTGCATTTACACTGCAGATCTTAATGGTCAATTCCGATTTTGTGACTGTATCCGATTTTTTTAGCTGACCTGCCATCTTTTAAAAGTGACTCGTTTCCGATTGTCTGCATTTATACAGCACACGGCAAAAAGGCAATGACCAAAAAAAAAAGAAAAAAAAAAAAAAAGAAAAAAAAGAGCGGACGCTGACTAACAGCTGATAACTAAAGAGAGCTCTTCTCAGTTCCTGTATTTAAGGTGTTCACTGGGTTTCATTTTGAAGTTGTTGTTTTACTTTAGTTTATGACAGAGAAGTTCTCTTTTAGCCATCTTCTTTTAATCTAAGCCTTTTTAAACCAGCAGGCATCTTAATGTAATGTCCATGCTGTTATTTATGCACGTGATGTACCACAGTTGTATATTAGTTTATATTGGTTACGTGGTGGATGTTGCGCTCTCGCTCTCTCGTTAACATGTTTAAATATGTGTTCTATATGACAATATAAAAGCATATTTAGTCCTCGTGTATGAGATTTAAGGTTTAAGACTCTGCTGAAGTCTGTTCTGAAATAAAAGCATCAGAGTTGACATTATTCACCATGGTTTTTAATGATGCACATTGCACTCGCATTGACCGGTGAAAATACGATCTACTTTAAAAATTAAACAATATATTGCCAGACAGACGAAGAAACTTTCGGTTTTGGAAGAGAGCGGCATCAGTGATAAAAGCAGTGGCGTAGCGCAAAATGCGGAGGCCCCCCTGCAGGGATCACCGACAGGGCCCCCAGTCGAAGGTGGGGGGGGGGTGCTTATACAGAGATATACACATATATCTATGATCGGGAGTTTTCCTGGATGTTAGTATACAATTTTTTTTTTTTTTTATGAAAATTATAATTTTACATCACTTTTCTACATTGATGGATCACTGATCGCACGGGCATTCCTGACATAAAGCTTGTGTTTGCATGTACAGAAATGTATTATTCACCCTCGCTGTTAAATTTGATCTAATCCGTGTCCTGAAACACACCTCCTCTCCTGCTTTCACTTCTCATACTGACGGAGGGAGCGATTCGTTTGTGAATGAATCTCCGTTAAGAACGACTCTTTCACTAGCCGACATTAATACACGTTTCTGGCAGCGCAGCATCTCGTTGTCATATTTATTTTGCATTGTTTGCTGATTTTATTCAACAAAACTAGCATAAGCCGAGTATTTAGTGCGAGTTGGAGCTGCTTTGCCTTATGATGAATGCAGTAAGTGACTGTATTATCATCAATAACGTTACCTGATTAGCACAAAGTTCAGAACATACAAAAACAGATAAAAACTTAATCTGACCTATGAAGTGTTCTGCCTTTGTGCTTTGTTTTCTTTGTTTGCTTGTTACTACACTCGTAGACAGCGCTACAGTCCACATCTTAACGTAATAATACTGTCCTGACTAGTGCGGTTGAATGACATTTGTCCGGGAAGCACTGTACCAATGTGGCGGCGCTATAGACGCATGCTCAGGGTCCCTATGCGATATCTAGTGTATATATCTATGTCACAAATTGAGGAGCGGGGAAAATAGGCGGGGTGGATCGACAACGCGGGGAATTCTTCACAAACTAAGGAGCGATCACAAACCGAAAGCCGCGAGAGCGTCAAAGTAGCCAGAAGTCATTCATTTTTTAACGAGAACCGGAGGCGAGAAACAGCGGCGCGTCTTTATTGGCTATGACGCGGTTCGGCGGCAAGCAATCAGAATGAAGTAGTCCACCGCTTGAGAGGTGTTCAGAGCACACAGACATGTGAACTTTGGTTCCGACCACAGTTGTTCCCAAGAGTTAGATTATTGCGGTTCCTGAATTTTCAATTATTGAAAATCGCGACGACGTGGGGCCCCCTAATCACGCGGGGCCCCCTGCGGTGCGTGCCCTGCGGGCCCGTCCGCTATGCCACTGGATAAAAGACACACACAGGTTACACTCTTGTCGGCCTATTCATTATTGATTTTTTAACATTTAACGCATAATAATAATCAAGTGCAAAAAAAGAAGACCTGAACTTGGCAAAAAGTATTTAGCCTACTGCAGTTGGTGCGATGGTTGCTTTGTTTCTCTGCAGTTTGCTTGTCAGTGCTAAATTATTTTTGTTTTATTAAAAAAATAAGATAATTTATTATTAAACATTGTGAGATGATGGTTGCAAGATTTTTTAAAAAGGAGTAGGCCTGTGCGTTGCGTATTTATGGCCATTGAGCTTATCTACCCATGACCCAACCATAGTTAAACATCAAGTATAGCCAACTTTTTGATTACCTGACATGCGGATCAAAGGCAGGACTCGTGATTATGAAAGAATCGCACATAACAAGGTTTCTATGCGTCCCCAATATGCAATGTCAAGAGATAAAGTATCCATAAAGTATCTTACACTGCACACACTTTGTGTAATGTGTAAAGTCTTGGACGCATGTCAGAAACTAGTCCTTTAATTGTCCATGCTCAATCATTAATAGATAAGGTCTGGATTTGCAGGGTTATCAACAATGTGTGTATATTTTTGGCTTGGAACAGCCTTCTGTTAAAAGTTTTTTGTGTTCATCCTTGCTACAGGCAAAAACAAACAAACAAATAAACTTCTTCGAAACCAAATCTATGAAATATCGGTTCTCTGTACACAATCGGCGAGTACACAAAATAAAATACTCGTACTCATATCAGTTTGTAAAAAGCTGTATCGGTGCATCCCTAATTTTCAGTATGTAAGCTTAAGCACTTCCAGTGAACTGTCATGCCATTATTAAAACACTGCTTTTAAAATCTGAGTTACTTATGATTTTCTGATTAAGCCTGATTGATATATGAAATAAAGTCGGTCTCAGTCTGGACAAGAAGCACTGCAGTATATTCCATTGCTGCTTGGCATATCTTTAATATATGGAAATGTATTTTACCCCAGTATGTTTAATAGAGTTTCACAGCTGCTCCTGACAGCGCTTGAGTTTCAACGGCTTTTCACCTTGAATTGCACTTGAACAGCTAGATTAATGCTCAAGTCTATTTAATAGATTATATGTTAATTAATTTACATTATCAATGTTTTTAAAGGAATCTTATGAAATTGAAAACAGTCACATTAAACTTTCAGCTGAAGTTTATTGGTGGCTGAAAAAACACTTGCCATGCATGACAGCTTCGGTGAAGTGTTATGCTTACTAAACTTTGGGGTTGAACTATTCTTTTACATTCAAAAGAAAAGAAAACAACAAGATTCAGTACATCTATCGATAAATAAATGAAAGCAGAATCATAATCTCACCACTCCGATTCCCTCAAAGGCAAATATGGCTGTGCCGAAGAAGAAGGGGAACTTTCTCCATGTGGAGGCGTATGGCAGACGTCTGGGATCACTCAAATCCTACAGAGTCAGAGATGGTAAAAGGGGTGATATAATTTCACTTTATGACTGTAATTGCAGTATTTCTTTCTAATATTAAGGCGGACAGACACACACAAGCTTACAGGAACAATATAAGTAAAGATCTAGTGTGAGCCTCAGACGCAGCAGTCGCCCACAGCAGTGACAGTGTGCTGAATACAAGAAATAGCTCCAATCTCATTTGTTGGCTTCATGCAATTGGTGAGAGTTTGTATGCTGAGTTTGTGCTGGTGCTGTCAAACGCTTAACTGCATCCAGAATAAAGGTTTGTATTAACATAATATATGCATGTAAATATTTGAAAAATGCATATTGTGTTTGTATTATGTTTGTATTTATGTATGCATAATAAATATGGACATGTATACTCATAAATTAATACAAACTTTTATTTTAGATGTGATTAAATGCCAATTAATTGTTTTCAGCACTAGTTTGTAAGCAGCCTGTATCAATTGTGCTCTACAATGAGCACTTTAAACAGCAAAAATGAATGTTCAGTGTGGACTGAGTGATATATATAGAAATACTAGCGTTTCATATAGAAAAACTAGCCTAGAGCGCAATCTGCTTTTATAAATCAGCCTACCCTGTTGAAAAATCTCTAAAACCAGGCTGGTCAACCAGCTAAAACCAGCCAACCAGCCTAGGCTGGTTTTAGCTGAATTTTTAGCAGAGTAGACTGCTATCTGCTGTTAAAAACTAGCCTAGAGCACCATCTGCTGATAAAAAACATCCTAGAGCACCATCTGCTGTTGAAAACTTGCCTAGAGTGCCATTTGCTGGTAAAAACTAGCTTAGAGTGCCATTTGATGTTAAAGAATTAGCCTAAAGCGCCACCCGCTGATATAAACCATCCTTGAGCGCCATCTGCTGTTGAAAATTAGCCTAGAGTGCCATCTGGTGTTAAAAACTAGTCTAGAGTGCCATTTGCTGGTAAAAACTAGCTTAGAGTGCCATTTGCTGTTAAAGAACTAGCCTAGAGCGCCACCTGCTGATATAAACCATCCTTGAGCGCCATCTACTGTTAAAAATTAGCCTAGAGCACCATCTACTGTTAAAAACTAGCCTAGAGTGCCATCTGCTGTTAAAAACTAGCCTAGAGAGTCACCTGCTGGTAATCACTAGCCTAGAGTGTCACCTGCTGTTAAAAACTAGCCACCAGTGACATCTACTGTTAAAAACTAGCCTAGAGTGCCATCTGCTGTTATTAACCAGCCTAGAGCACGATCTGCTGGAAATCACTAGCCTAGAGCGTCACTTGCTAGTAATCACTAGCCTAGAGCATCACCTGCTGTGATAAATTAGAGACATCTGCTGTTAAAAACTAGCCTAGAGCACAATTTGCTGTTATAAACCATGCTTGAGCACCATCTGCTGTTAAAACTAGCTTAGAGTGCCTTCTGCTGTTAAAGAACTAGCCTAGAGCACCACCTGCTGGTAATCACTAGCCTAGAGCATCACTTGCTGTTAAAAACTAGCCTAGAGCGCCATCTGCTGTTATAAACCAGCATAGACTGCTATCTGCTGTTAAAAACTTGCCTAGAGCACCATCTGCTGATACAAACCATCTTAGAGCATCATCTGTTGTTGAAAACTAGCCTAGAGTGCCATCTGCTGTTAAAAAAAAACTAGCATAGAGCACCATGTGGTGTTCTAAACCAGCCGAGACCACAATCTGCAGTTAAAAACAAGCCAAGAGCGGCATCTGCTGTTTAAAAAATTAGCCTACAAAGACGTCTGCAGTTAAAAACTGGCCTACAGCAATATCTGCTGTTAAAAACTAGCCTGGAGCGCCATCTGCTAGTACACACTAGCCTAGAACAACATCTGCTGTTAAAAACTAGCCTAGAGCATCATCTGCTGGTAAACACTAGCCTAGAGCACCATCTGCTGCTAAACACTATCCTAAAGCACCATCTGCTGGTAAACACTAGCCTACATCAACATCTGCTGTTAAACACTACTCTAGAGCGCCATCTGCTGTTAAACACTAGTCTAGAGCGCCATCTGCTGTTAAACACTAGCCTAGAGCACCATCTGCTGGTAAACACTAGCCTAGAACAACATCTGCTGGTAAACATTAGCCTAGAACAACATCTACTGTTAAACACTAGCCTAGAGCGCCATCTGCTGTTAAACACTAGCCTAGAGCGCCATCTCCTGGTAAACACTAGCCTAGAGCGCCATCTCCTGGTAAACACTAGCCTAGAGCGCCATCTGCTGTTACAAACCAGCTTAGAGGGTTATCGGTTATAAACCAGCCTAGAACGCCATCTGCTGTTAAAAAACTAGCATAGAGCACCATCTGCTGTTAAAAACTAGCCTAGAGAGACATCTGCTGTTAAAAACTAGCCTAGAGCACCGTCTCGTCTGCTATTAAAAACTAGCCTAGAGCAACATCTGCTGTTAAAAACTAGCCTAGAGTGCTATCTGCTGTAAAAAACTAGCCTAGAGCGCCATCTGCTGTTAAAAACTAGCCTAGAGCGCCATCCGCTGTTAAAAACTAGCCTAGAGCAACATCTGCTGTTAAAAACTAGCCTAGAGTGCTATCTGCTGTAAAAAACTAGCCTAGAGCGGCATCTGCTGTTAAAAACTAGCCTTGAGCGACATCTGTTTTTATATACCAGCTTAGTGCCATCTGTTATAAACCAGCCACCATCTGCTATTAAAAACTAGCCTAGAGCGACATCTGCTGTTAAAAACTAGCCTAGAGCGCCATCTGCTGTAAAAAACTAGCCTAGAGCACCATCTGCTGTTAAAAACTAGCCTAGAGCGCCATCTGCTTTTATAAACCAGCTTGGAGTGCCATCTGTTATAAACCAGCCACCATCTGCTGTTATAAACAAATATAGAGCACCATCCCATAACTAAAAAAACTAATCTCAAAATCCCCCCCAGATCACATGGCCCTAACACAGACTTACATTGAGTATATAAGAGAAGATGAAGATGAGGCTGATGGCCATACAGAGGTTGGCGATGGCGGACAGAGCGGCCATATTGCGCAGGTCTCTGATGAAGGTCAGCACAATGATGAAGGGAAGGAGGAAGACCATGTAGAGGCGCAGATCTATTGCGACAGAAGAGGCGACACTCGCTTCTGAGCTGTTGGAGGATAACAGCACAGTTTCTGCCGTCGAGTTCATATGAGTGCCCTCCATAACCTACAGCATACGAAAAAAAAAAAAATCACATTTATTGATTTATTTATTTATAGACAAAACTGACCTTACACTTAGCTCCTCTCCTCAAACAAATAAGAGCCAATGGCAGTTAAGTATCAGTTGCATGGCAAACATATTATAGCTTCAAACGTATGTTATTCTTACTTTTTAGAGAAAGTACGTCACAGCACTTTTATAGGTGCTGTATGCAAGCTTGACACCCAGTGGTTGAACTAGGTATTGCACGCCTGGTTCAAAACACATTTTCACTCAGCCTCTCTCTGCTGAAGACTCCACACAAGTGCAGGTTGCAGGATTGACGATGCCAGGATTCTGCTTTTTATTTGACTTCTTCAGCAAATAATAAAAAAATAGAGCATGTTTATCTTGTGGAGCTCTACTGCTGCACATACCTGTTTAATGTTTTCAGCCAGAAATACGAAATAAACACTACAGAAGCCCAGCTGGGTCAAAACCAGGAAGAAATTCACCAAGTGCCTGTAAAAGAAATTCAGGGCAAATCATTATATTATGTGAGAAGAGAGAGACATGAGATAAATAAATATCAGTGTAGAAGACCAGCTGACCAATCAAAATTATGTATTTTATAGTCCTGTAATACATTTTGTTGACCTTTAAAAGGATTTGAAATATTGTTACTGTTTAATAAAACTAAAACTGTGTAAAGAAATCATTATTGCAGTAAAGCACAAGACAAATATTACATTTAAATGTGAAAACTTAAAAAAACTTAAACAGTCACAGTTACCAGAATAAAAAATTATTATTTAAAAGTAAACAGCAAAATATGAGACCGTTATTAAAAGCTGAACAAATTAATTCTGGTCTGGTTAAAGGACATCATATGCTAGATTTGGTATGCAATTAAAATTTAAACTTGTACATTTGTACTTTATATTTTAATTGCAGACATCTTTTCAGTCTTATTTTGATATTTTTCAGTATTCAAGCTATTATCGTTCAACTAAGATTAAATGTTACATTTAAACAAAGGTTTCTGCTTAATGTGCTATAAAAAATTAATTTAACATATATTATTAGATATAATGAAATTAATATAAATATTCTTTATATCAAAAATTCTCTAAATTTTAATATTCTCCAATGAAGAAAAAGATGAAAATGTTTTTACTATTTAAACGTTTTATATACATACACACGGCCACTTTATTAGGTACACGTCCAGCTATCTACTCAGGCTACAATTCACACAGGCTCAACAAAATTAGACAATAGTAGATTGGAAAAACGTTGCCTGCTCTGATGAGTCTCGATTTCTGCTGCAACATTCAGATGGTAGGGTTAGAATTTGGCGTCAAAAACATGAAAGCATGGCTCTATTCTGCCTTGTTTCAAAGGTTCAGGCTGGTGTAATGGTGTGGGGGATATTTTCTTGGCACACTTTGGGTGCATTATTACAAATTGAGCATCGTGTCAACACCACAGCCTACCTGAGCATTGTTGCTGACCATGTCCATCACTTTATGACCACAGTGTACGCATCTTCTGATGGCTACATCCAGCAGGATAACATGCCATGTCATAAAGCACGAATCATCTCAGACTGGTTTTTTGAACATGGCAATGAGTTCACTGTACTCAAGTGGCCTCCACAGTCACCAGATCTCAATCCAATAGAGCATCTTTGAGATGTGGTGGAACGGAAGACTCACATCATGGATGTGCAGCCAACAAATTAGCAACTGTGTGATGCCATCATGTCAATATGGACCAAAATTTTCCAGCATCTTGTTGAATCTCTGCCACAAAGTATCAAGGCAGTTCTGAAGGTAAAAGGGGGTCCAACCCTGTACTAGTAAGGTGTGATAAAGTGACCTAATAAAGTGGCCGGTAAGTGTGTATATAAGTAAATACATAATTATTTTATTATATTTTATAAACATAATATTTTTATATTTCAGCAGACATGATATTATCTTTCAACACCGATAAAACAAAACAGAGACTATTTGCTGAGTCTTCTTAGGATTCAGTGTGTGTGTGTGGGACACATCAGATCTGCAGGCAGCGTCCTGTCTCTCTGTCTCTGCTCTATAATGAATATATTCATTCAAGCACAGATATTTGCCCTCCTACCATCCCGTTCTCTCGCTCATATATGCACAAACAGGAGTGTGTGGGGGGGTTCTGTCACGCCACTGAACTGCATGATGGGAAAACTCACCTTCCAAAATGAGCACTTCTCCTCAGGCACTGGGAGGAACTCAACTCCATAGCAGCAGCAACTGTTTCACTGTAACCAAGGGGAGAACGCTTCAACCTGACACACACACACAGAGAGAGAGAGAGAGAGAGAGAGAGAGACAAACACACACACACACACACACACACAGTGAGAGCATGTTAGAAACAGACAGACACTTACACGGAGAGAGAGAGTGAGACAGACAGAAAGAAACTAAGACAAACAGACACACAAACACAGAGTGAGATCCAGGAAAACAGAAAGAAAGAGAGAGACAGACAGACAGAGACACACACAAAAACACAGACATTCATTCATTTTTCTTTTCAGCTTAGACCCTTTATTGATCAGGGCTTGCCACAGCAGAATGAACCGCCAACTTATCCAGCATATGTTTTACACAGCAGATGTCCTTCCAGCTGCAACCCATCAATGGGCAACACCCATACATTCTACTGAGAACATACAAACTCCACAGAGGAATGCCAACTGACCAAACCGGGGCTCGAACCAGCTACAGACAGACAGAAAGATAGAGACAGACACACACAGACAGTCAGACACACAACAGACAGAAAGGATGAGAGACAGACAAACCCACAGAAAGACTATACAGACAGTCATTCAGGCACACATAGACAAGGACACAGACAAAAAAGGTGAGAGACAGACAGTCAGCCAGAAAAACGACAGACAGACACTCACACATACACGCATATCACCGAAGAACAAAATAGGGGGCAGAATAAAAACAGCTTTCGTACAATTCTAGAGGGGGAAATGCATTCAAAACACTTGAATAAAAAGGACAGAAAGAAAGCTCGACTACTCATGACTAGAATCAGCTTCAGACGCAAAACTGACCCCAAAGCCAAATCTGACACCACTAGACAAAAAAACCTATAAAATGAGGTGCTGCCGGGGCTGATAACCTCATGAGCACTTCAGCTTAATGTTTAGTCCTAATAATAAAATGAAATAAAATGAAATTAAATATAAAAAAATAAAATATAATATAAAATAAAATATAAAAAATATAATATAATAAAATATAACAAATATAATAAAATAAAAAATATAACAAATATAATAAAATAAAAAATAATAAAATATAACAAAACATCACATCCCATAACATGATATAATATAATATAATATAATTTAATTTAAATATAATATAATATAATATAATATAATTTAATTTAAATTAATATAATATAATATAATATAATATAATATAATATAATAAAATAAAATAAAATATAATATAATATAATATAATTTAATTTAAATTAATATAATATAATATAATATAATATAATATAATATAATATAATATAATATAATATAATATAAAGGGGACAGACTGAACTCAAAAGTGTGATGGTTTAGTGGCGTTTTCTGCAGCAGGAGTCTCATGTATCTTCAACTAAGAGTTTCACCATCCTGCTAATCTGTGTTTTTGACAGTTTGGCGCCATCTTGTGACTGAATAATGCTCAGGTTAGTGTATACTCCATTAGCGGTTTTAATTTCTGCCAGCTTTGTGTTTTTGACTGCTTGGCGCCATCTTGTAATTGAATAATGCGCAGGTTAGTGTATACTCCATCAGCTGTTTTCGTTTCTGTCAGTTTTGCATTTAATTAAAGAATTAATAAACTATTACAGCACAGAAAACTAATTGTTACGTACTGTGGCAAGTAGCCATTTAATAAACAAGATAAAGTACATCTAGGATGGTTGTTATTGCAGAATAAAGCCCTTTAGTCTTGCACCAAAAGATAAGCCTGTTGGGCTTTATTCTGCGATAACAACCTTCAGGATGTGGCCGATAAAAAAAATCTTATATTTAACAATAATGATAGCAATAAAAATAAGGACATGGCACCGGATATATCACAGATCCCTTGTCATTATAGATCTACTAAAGTGTAATCTGTACTGTCATTATGGCAAAGAAATCCGTTGTTAGAAATTAGTGATTAAAAGTATTATGTTTAGAAATGTGTTAAAAAAAAAAAAACGTCTTTCCGTTAAACAGAACTTGTACAGAAATATACAGGGGGGCTAATAATTCTGACTTCTACTCTATGTCAGTCTTTGTGGTTGATAATTTATGCTAATTGCAGTAGCGTTGGCAAACCCATGACAGCCCACTGATGAAGATGAGGATGACAAGTCTTCAGTCTAACGCCGGCACACACTGTAAAATCAGCCTGCCCACATATGACTGATGCAGCGGTCTGCCTTTCCTGCTCTCAGACCCCAGGGATAGGCCTTTGATCGCGTTTGAAGAGCGAATGCGTGCAAGCAGCAGCCGTTTGTACACCGAGAACGCATACACAGATATCCTGACTGCAGGAAAGTCCACACGCTAGCAAGTGCTGTGTTCAGAATACAGAATATGTATGCGTGCTTCAAACCACTCAGTAACAACTACTCAGCTTTGAGAATAGTTTCACAAACAATACAGTGTTTATCTGAATATCTAATGAGATGTGTTTTCCTATTGGGAACGCTTGCTTGATGCTGGTGGTCATCGAGTGCCACAAACAAAGTCACGCCGCATGAATATTGGCTTTGTTGAATGGGAGCTGAGCTTTAGTCATCAACAGGATCAAATGTGTGAGTGGGGGGAAACTTCACTTGTGATCCAACAGGGGACCAAAGTCATCCTAAAGTCACATTTGGTCACCTGAACTGTGCAATCTTCCCTTTGAAGCCCACACACTAAACTAACCAAACAGAACTCTTGAAATGAAAGCCGACTGTGTTGTCGCTTCATGTTATGCGCATCTGGGCTAAATAATTGTGATTGAACACACCACAAAGGATCCAGCACTGGCCAACTAGCAGGTATAGTGTGTGGAGTTGCTCTTCAGTGGATTGTCCTTCTGCATTAGCATTAGACTGATCTGAAATAAACTGAACTGACCTTCAACGGCGACATTAATACTGAACTGAAGCGGTTTCAATTTACTAGACCTACACCAGCATTTTAAGCCTAGTTCACACTACAGGATTTTAAACATCAGCAGATCGCTGTGCTGTTCACACTACATGACTTGACTTTGTGTCTTTTAATCTCTGTGGTGTTCACACTACGCCACACTCTGTGAATGATCCACAAGAGGGGGGTCACACACTACATGATCTGACAACAACTCATTCCCCATCAGCTCATTCAAGCTACCAAACCACAGCCAATGACATTTTGAGGGAGGAGTCATCAGAAAAAGCTGAACACTATTGGCTGCTTGTGTGCTGATTACATCACTGACAGCTTTTCAAGCTTTGGAGAAAGCATTTAAAAACATCGTCAAATCAGCTGATTTATCAGCGGATTAATCCCTCATCTGCAAGGTTCCAGTGGATAGATACACAGAGAGTTTTGAATTTTTGTAATTGTATAACTCTTTGAAATAAAACTAACAAATAACACCCTGCCGTTTTCTAACTATCAGTGTATTTCTTTCTGACATTGTTATTTTCTTTTATTACAAAACAGTAAAGAACTGAGCATTTCTGCCTTAAATTACCATATTGGTCAAAATGACTGCATGCATGTCTGATACTTTAGCTCCTGTATGAAAGTGAAAATGAAAGCCAAGATGTTTAAGTGTTTTAGTATCCTAACTACATATTTATAGGCTGTATTACCAAAAAAGATTATATTTTTAGGGTAATTGTGTCATTAAATATGATGCGAGACATTCAAAGCTTAATTTTAATATCTCAATAATAGCTTTGAATGTAAATATGTTGTGACAGTATGCCGTTTTATATGAGAATGGTCAGAATGAGCAGTATGGTAATTCTAATAGTTACAGAATTCTAGTTCCACTGTTAATATAGCCTCCTCTCATGTTTGTGTTAACGCAGAATGAAGCGAGTGCACCGATGATCATTCTGACCAATCACAGATGTTTCTGCTGAGCTCCTGAACACACAGGCATTCAGCTCATGCTGATATGCTCTCTCATTGGCTGCAGCTCGTCACTACATCTGACCACACGTGGGGTTGAGTCGGCCGACTGCTCTGGAATATTTAGCATGCTAAATGTTGGATTTCTGTCTGCGAGGTGTCGGCGACGCGTCAGCGAGCCTCGTTGATGCGTTGTTCAGTAGTTCACACATAAAGAGGGGCACTCGCAGATTTCTTCCCGATCACAGCCCGATCTGTGGGCGAGCTCGTTAACTTCCAAATTGGGCTCAAATCAGGCTTAAAATCCTCTAGTGTGAACTAGGCTTTACACTACTCTCTACCCAGCTTGACATGCTGAAATGTTCCACAATGTAAAATATTATGGCTTTTTTTTTTTCGCTTTTTTTCTTTCTCCTACATCAGGCATGTCCAAACTCGGTCCTGAAGGGCCGGTGTCCTGCAAAGTTTAGTTACAACCTCAACCAGACACACCTGGGCTAGCTAATCAAGCTCTTACTAGGCTTCCTAGAAACATCCTTTCAGGTGTGTTGAGGCAAGTTAAAGCTAAAATCTGCAGGACACCGGCCCTCCAGGACCCGCTGGTAAAGCTTCTCCAAAATGGACATCAAGAGTTCTCCAGCCTCCAACACCTAGACTGCCGCTCTGCACAAGAAGTTTGGCCATAGGAGAAATGGTCATGCCCAACTTAGCCTGGTTTCTATCAAGGTTTTTTTTTTCCCTTCACTTTTCTCAATTAGTGAAGTTTGTTCACCGCCACAGTCCCCATTTTCTTGCTTGGTGTGGGACTTGTGGAGCTGCACATTGATGGATTTGCTCTTCAGTGTTTGGCCTTTCAGCTGTGAAAATTAAACCACACTGAACTGAACTAAACTGAACTTCAACTCTGAAATCTGCAGAGATACAGTTTCAGTTTATCAGAACTTCTGGTATGCTGCTTTGACACAATCTACATTGTAAAAGCACTATAGAATTAAATATGAACTTAATTTTGTGGAATAACCTGTCTATTCACCTTATTCTTCGCCGACGAGTGGGCGCTGCCATTTAAATCTTTTTGTCTCGAGACTTCTGGTCTCATTCACTTCCATTCATTTTTAGACATTAAAAACTGCTCGTTTCGCTGTTTGATG